TTAAATAAAGTTATTAAAATTTTTAAGCTCATTTTAATTTGTTTTATTACATAAATGTAGCACATAATATGTATTTATAGTACGTAATAAATTGTTTTCACAATGTATCAGATAAAATGAAATCTGGTTAACATATATACAGTCGAACATCGTTAACGCGAAATCAGTGGGACTATTATAATTATTTCCTGTTAATCGAATTTCGTCTTATCCGATATATCATGAAAGCAATTTATTACGTACTATTAATACACGTTATGTACTACATTAATGTATGCAAACAATACTATTATGAACCAAACAAATTAAAATAAGCTTAATAGCTTTAACTAACAGTTGGGCTGAAAAGTTCGTAGGCTGACACATAGATGGGGCTACTATTATTAAAAACATATGATTTTTAGTTAGTTCTAACCTTCGAAAGACACGTGTATAAATTTGACAGCTGTCGGACTAACAGTTTGTGAGATATAGTATTTTTAGTGAAGCAACTTTTGTTAGTCTAAAAACAATGGATAAAAAGGAATTTAACGTGTTTATAAAGCATTGCTTTCTAGCGAAAAGAAAATACTCTTGAAGCTAAGGCTTGGCTTGAGAAACATTATTCAAACTCTGTTCCAGGAAAATCAACCATTGAGAAGTGGTTTGCTAAGTTTAAACGAGGCGAAATGAACACAGACGAAGATGCGCACCGTGGACGCCCCAAAGAGGCTGTTAGCGACGAAAATATCAAAAAAGTTCACAAAATAATTTTAGATTACCGTAAAGTTAAGTTGATCAAAATATCTGAGACTCTAAAGATATCAAAGGAAAGTGTTAGACATATCGTGAATGAATATTTGGGTATGAGAAAGCTCTAGGCAAAGTGGGTGCCGCACGAGCTCACAATTGACCAAAGACAACAACGAATTGATTCTGAGCTGTATTTGAAGCTGTTTAATCGTAATAAATCTGAATTTATGTGTCGATATATGACAATGGGTGACACATGGCTCCATAATTTCACACCGGAGTCCAATCGACCGTCAGCGAATGAACTGCAGGAGAAGAACAAACTCCAAAGCTTGGAAAGATGCAAAAGTCAGCAGGCAAAGTTATGGCATCAGTATTTCGGAATGCTCATGGTTTAATATTCATTGACTATCTTGAAAAAGGAACAACCATCAACATCGACTACTACATAGCGTTATTGGAGCGTTTGAACTACGAAATCGCAGAAAAACGGCCCCATTCGAAGAAGAAAAAAGTGCTGTTTCATCAAGACAATGCACCATGCCACAAGTCAATGAAAACGATGGCAAAATTATATAAATTGGCCTTCGAATTGCTCCCCCATCCACGGTATTCTCCAGATCTGGTCCCCAGTGACTTTTTCCTAATCTCAGACCTCAAGAGAATGCTCGCTGGAAAGAAATTTAGCGCCGATGAAGAAGTAGTCACCGAAACTAAGCCCTATTTTGAGGCTAAAGACAAATCGTACTATAAAAAAGGTATCGAAAAATTATATGACCGCTATAATCGTTGCTCGCCCTTGAAGGAAACTATATTGAATAATAAAATGAAATTTTATCAAAAAAAAATTTTTTTTCTATGTTAGCCTACGAACTTTTCAGCCCACCTGTTATACTTCATTAAACTATTTTATTCTAACTATTTTATTCATTTGCCCATCTGCTACTTCTAACAAAAGAAGAAAATAGAAATAGCATTCCTCAAAATGTATGATAGGAATTTTATTCACATGCTTATTATAGTGTGGCGTCCAGCTTGAAAATTTCATGTTAAACATGTAAAATACAACAATAATTGATTGCTGACTCACGGGACCAAACATTAGTTTCACATAACGCGATATGAGTTTCATGTAAAGCGTTAGTGAGTTTCAACTGTAATTACGATAGTCCCGCCAATTATGCGTGCTGTAAATTTTTACTATCATGAGTTGGCGGATAGCAATAGCTTCTAGCCAAATGATATTGAATATAGTTTATCTTCATTTTGATAGGATGAATTTCTAAAAATACAGTCCCTGACCTTATTATTAGACACACTATAAGATTCTATGTAAAATCTTAATTATCAGATTATACTATACAGCTTTATTGTTTTTATGTGACTGAAACCAGTTTGTACCTGTTTATGTTCGTGTATCAATTAGTTAACATTGTAATGCAATGTATTAAAAAAATAATATATTAATGCAAATAGGAAGTATATAAAAAATCTCCTAAATAAAAACCCATGACATGTGTGTTTAAATATAAAAGTATTTCTTATAAACTCGTGCAAAACATGTAGTTATTGATTTGGTCTAATTATTATAATATACTAGTCTAATACCTAATACAGTACAGAACCCGTTATCCGGAAATCAGAAAACCGGAATACCAAAAAACCGGAACGAAATTCAATGAATTTTCCCACCATTTTTTTAAAAAAAAAATTTTTCCTCATAAGATTTTAAATTTTTTTTTTCTTTTTTGAAAGATGTTTACCATACCATCATTTTAGAAATAATCATTACTGTATTTCATCGTTTTTTCTTCTTTTTAAGATTATTTCCTAATATTTTTTTTTTAGTTGGGTTTAACAATAAAAAAAACGGCTTTTTGTAGTGATTCAGAAAACCGGAAAAATCAGTTATCCGGAATAGCGATGGTCCCGATCGTTCCGGATAATCGGTTCCCTACTGTATATTGTTATAAATATTTTATATTCATCTAACATATCGTCGAATTTATCCCATCGTCTAATAATAATGAAAATAAAAACACATTTTGTGTGATTTATTTGATGTGCCGGTATAAGCCTTTCAGTTTTGAGCATAAATTCGTAGTGTTGTGTTAAGTAATATTGATTTATTGATGATTTACTTTTCTTTTGAGTAGATCAAGCCAGACTCTAGGGAAGAGTTAGTGTTACAACTAAAGAGCAGTTAGTGCTTCAAGGTTTTAAAATTTGAACAGCGGACGCCAGCTTACAGCTCTGTTTAATCAAAAGCGGAATTTATTGCAGGATCTTTAATGATTCATTAGGCTTCACGTCAGATAAACTCATATAATGAATGTGCACAACATGTGAGCAACCACGTGTTTATTTACATATTTCTGAAATGAACTTTTTTAAAACTAATGATGTAAAAATAACGATAATTAGAACAAAAAAGAATTAAGTTAAATAGTAAAGATAATGAAAAAAATCGTTTGATTGGGCTAAATTTTGACTGTCATGAGTTGGTAGCAAGGGCCCCGGCAGAATAATACAAAAGGGGGTGCAACCCTCAAACAAAATACCCTCTCCCCCCCCCCCAATTTTTTTTTAATATTTAATATTTTTTTATTACATTTTGTTTTGTTATTACATATACTTTCATCTGTTAATTTTTTTTTCAAGATATATTTCTTCATTGTTAACCAGATATTTAAAAAAAAAAAAGTACGAATTTCTTGTGCTTGCAAATTTTGCCACGAGAAACTGTATTGATGGCTCTTGCATTGGAACACAAATAACTACAAACAGTAGTTTCGTATACTAACGTGTTTGTGCACGCTCAACATTGGTATTTATTGTGCTGATGAAGTTTTACAGTTGTGAGAAGTCAGTTTGTGCCGTACACCTTTGTTAAACAAAATAACTAACAGAAAATATAATATTATTTATATTTTATTAAATGAAATTTAAAAAATATAGCTTTATGTATCTGCCAAGTTTGTGGCACGCTTAGCGTGCATAAGAAAAGAATCAAAGATGACTCAGAATTCATTGAAAAAGTTATAAACAGATTTCAACAGCAAACAAGACGATTACAATTCTTGCTTGATTAAACAATTTTTTAATTGTTATGTATCAATAATTACTTAATTATTCGTATTTGGATAAAAGTATTTTTAATAAAAATTTTTTATAACAAAATTGTTTTTCTGTATCTCTAATTGTTGAGAGAAAAAAAAGCCAGGGGGGAGCAAGTGCACCCTCTTGCACCCCGCTGCCGGCGCTCTTGGTTGGTCGTGAGCAGTTTCATCAATTTTGAGTAGAATTAATTTTTATTTTGATGATCTTATAACGTAAAATCACTGGGAAAGGTAACAAATAATAATAATATATAAAGAGAATCATTTTAGCTTTGTTATAATTGCCTTTTAGTTAAGTGCCCGATTTCGTAGAGTTCATTAATACTAATTTATTGATTCATCCTACTTATTTTACAATGTACCAAGAAGGGATATGCAACTATTATGTATACACTTGTAAGAATAATTACTTAGTAAAAATGTTTACACAATTGGATTTTGAAACATAATAAACATTTTAAGCTCATGCACAAAACTAACCATTAAAATCCCCAAATGATTTCATTTTATTTTTTGATTCAATTATTTTTTGTTATAAAATAGACAGAAATTTTATATAATGGTCATAAATGTTGCTTGTTTTATTGAAATAATTAGTACAAAAACTGTCAATTATGGTTTAAATGCAAAAGGATGCAAACTTTTGAAAATCCTACAGTTTCACACGTAGAAGAAAATTATTCGGAGAAACTGAATATTAAATAAATAATGGGATAAAATGACAACGAGTCTCGATTATTTTCTGTTAAAAAATCGTCTCGATTATTTTTTGTTATAAAAAAGACAGAAGTTTTATATAATGGTTATAAATGTTGCTTGTTTTATTGAAATAATTATTACAAAAATTGTAAATTATGGTTTAAATGCAAAAGGATGCAAACTTCCAAAAATCTTAATTTCACTTTATATCCTTTTAGTAGAAAATTATTCGGAGAAACTGAATATTATAAATAAATAATGAGATAAAATGATAAGAAATCTCAAGTTTTTCCGTCTTTATTTCATAATAATAGAAAACTAGAACAAAAAAATAATAATTAAGTGACGAAAATAATGTTGAACAAACAGTATGGAAGAAAATAATCGATACACATCTTTTTCACGAGACACGTGCTTTTCAGAGAAAGGTGAAAAATGTGAGTGACTCACCCGCAGAGGTTGATGTACTAACAGCCCCTGTCTTATTTTCCACGACAGACGACATATTGTAAACATATCTTCACTTCACAACATATCTTATTTATTTAATTGATAGATTTACCAGCGCAAACGATTTTTGTGCACGCCACTCATTCTTTAGGCGCGACGGAAGAACAATACCGGCTGCGCAAAACTTCGACCAGCCAGCAGACGCCTGTCCGGTCTCTTTAACGATATTCGTGAATAAAAATAGAAGTCAAAATAGCAACGACTGCACGCCCCTCCGCTTTCTTCTGTGGTTTCCCTTCCTTACCCTCTCCAAGTTGAAGAAAAATATATTTTTTTTTTCTCTCTGCTGGTGTTCTTTATGTTTCGGCAGCAGCAGCAGACGATTTAATTCGAATGCTGCATATTACCTTAGGAATTATTTTAACGCATGAGAGAGTGAGAAAAATATTGTCATATCATATTCTTTAATTCAACCACTACGAAAAATTTTACGGGAAGTTTTTTTATTGATCTTTTTTCTTTTCTGGGAAAGCGTTAAATATATATTTTTTTTTCTTCTCTAAGAAAAATGCCTGATATTTGGATAAATTTTTCTATCTTTATTTTTCTATCTCGGGATCTTTTTCTATCTTTTATTAGTTTGTGACAAGAGGGTGCCACATCACACATTTTAAGTAAACTAAAAACATTTAAAATCACAGATCAAATATCTTAAAATTATTTATTTATTTTTAATATTTTTTTTTTTTTATCAAACTAAGTACTAGTCCAATCACTATTGTTGTTGCATTAACGAATATGAAATTGTTAAAAGTTCATAAAAATAATTTATATGTTTTGTTACCTTTGTTTTGTTTCTGAACTGCGAAGATATGCATATGTAATATAGCGTGACAATGGGGATACGGGCTATAATTGAGCGAAACATTTTGTTACATAGGGGAAGAGAAGCGAAAAGGGCAAAGAGATATTAAAAACAAAAAAGTATGACATCATTTATGTCTACTTTTGATATGAATTTATGTAAATTTTATGTAATTAATTATCACAGGGTTGGTTTTTCAGAGAACACAATTTGTTTCAATCTACACAGAATTTATCTCTTTGCAATACATATAAAGGTGTGTCAGAAATTAATTTATTTCCATCGAAAAAAATTTATTATTTGGGGATTTGTTGTCAATTATTATATCAGCAATTCATTATAACAGATAAAATTGTCGTCATTGTGAGATTGTCGTAAAAAGTAAATGTGGATTTTTAATGTCAAAATAGCAATTAAATGAGTAGTATTAAAGAAAAAAATTTTTTTTAAATCAATTCCTACTTTGGTAAAACAAAAATATTATTTTAGTTACTTTTTATTAAATAATTACAATTTTTACTCTCAAATAAAATTAAAGAATTAATATTTGAAAAAAGTGTATTAACATCAAGTGTGATCCACTACAAGTTTAAAAAAATTGTATTTGAACTTGAGTGGAGATGAATAAAAAAGTATTTTATTAATGATTGAAAATTTGAACAAGATATAGGGAGAGTGTGAACACTAATAGTAAGAATTGAAAAATGAAATAAGACTCTTTTTTTTCTTTTATTTTTATTTAAAATACATTTATCTAGTGCAGACTGCTTTTGCCTAAAGACAGAACCGTCTGTAATGACCAGAATGTTGAAATTTCCCATTTAATTTTCTCGCAAGACTTTTTGATTACAGAATGTCGACTTTAACTGTCAAGGAGGGAAATGAAGGTGTGAAGTCAGCAAAAGACGTAGTCTTTTCACATGCGCAGCAGGATTTCGAAAAATGGCGAAAATTTTATTGTCAGGGAAAAAGATGACTTAGCCGGTGGTTGCCCACACATTGCTTTATAAGAAGAGAAGAGTTTAAGTTTTCAAAAATGGATTAATGTTCGTTTTTCGCTTTTCTATATTAATGTCAGAAATAAATAAAAATGTTTCCCTTTTAAACGCTTTTCGCTCATTTTAACAGCAAAAAAAAAAAAAAAAAACGTACTTCCCCAAGAAATAGTAAGTCGTTATAGAGCGGAAGGCTAGTAATTTTTAACTTGTTATAAGCATTTAATTTCTGTACCTCTTACGTTAGTATTTAAATTGTGACTTTTAAATTTTTCGGATTTCCATAAATATACCGTGCTTACGTCGAGCTTTTACCATGTATCAGCCAATAGAGGATTTTCATACTTTTTTCTTCATTTTCTATATTATATTATTATTATGTAATAACTGTCGTTAAGCAGCCGACCCAATTTTCTGGATTTACGACTACTATTGCTCAACTATGTAGCCTTGTAATTTTGAACCCAATCCAGAAGACAAGGGAACTCCTGAATTAAGTATTGGGAGAAATTTGTCTTCTTGGAGGACTTTTGGGTGGAACTAACCAGCATTTCCGTTACATGGAGGGGAAAATCTCGAAAACTTCAAACGGTTAGTCTGACAGCAAGGGGACTGTAACCCACGATCCGTCTACCACTGATAACATTTTTACGTCAGCACTGTGGTCGGTGCGAGTCAGGTGCGGAGTTCGTATCAACCAGCCATCGCTGAGATTCGAACCAGGTTCACCTCATTGTAAGGCGAACGCTCTACCCCTTGATCCATCACGACTCTTTGATTTCCATACGTAACGGTAAATAGCTATATAGCTATATAACGGTAAATAGCTATATTCTATAGCTATATAACGGTAAATAGCTATATTCTATAACGATTATGTAGTAATGTAGTGAATAGGAATACCGGCTAACTCAAATTAATGCAAATTATGATAAAAGTGACTAAAGAAGTACACTTTAATAAAGAAATTTAATAATAAACACAGATACAAACATTAATTACATTTAACAACAAAACTAAAAGAATTAAAATTAAAGAAAACTAGGGGCAAGGTGAAATAATCATGTTTCAGCTTTCATATCCGAACTCGAATTGTTCATTGAAATTCGCTAATTCGTAGATGCCCTTGAGTGATATAGGTGTCACCACAGGGAATCGGTTAGTTGCTCTACAGTTATATTATATAACCGTTATATAGTAAAAGTTTCATGTTAAAATATTCAAAACTCGAAAATTTCCATATTAAATTTTTTTCATCCAAAACTCATAATAAAAAAATTTTTACTAACCAAAACCCACTATAAAAAACGTTTTTCTCTTCTTTTTAACTCTGGTTACTGATACATGTTAACGTTTCAATTTATGCATATAGTGAAAGGTCACATTTTTCTAAATGTGACAATTTTTTCCACGTTAAACAGTTCTTTAGTCTTGTCTCTAGATATGTACCTTATATGTTTTTTGAAAACTCAGCTAGATAAGATCATAATACACGGAAATATCTTATAACATATATACATGAAATCGTGTTGATTTCAAACAAGAAAAAAAATAAGTTTTTAGGCAGATGATTTCATAGGTATATGCAGGGTGCTTCGATATTACCCCACCTTTACTTTATAATAATAAAATGAAGAGAATATCTTCTTATAATTCAACCGTTTCTTATAACGTAACCTCCACTAGGATCATAGCAATATTTTTTATGGCAATCAACTCTACTCTTAACTAAGTAAATCAAGAAACAAGAGCCTCACAGATTCGCTCTCCTCATTGGCAAAACCCCACAAACAAATTAAATTTTATTCAGGGTATCTGCTACATTTTAGATTTACAAATTCATGACTTTCCATGACATTCCAAAAAATTTTCATTACTTATCGAAGTTATTGTTTTCTCCGACAAAAACGCAACAATACATTTAAAAAAGCATTATAATAACATTAATTGAAATGATAGGTATAACCAAAACTGTTATACTCTGCATCTTCATATTTATAGATTTTAAATTTAAAATACAGAGTAAAGAAAGAATGGAAGCAATAAAATAGCTAAAGAAAATGCAAAAGCAAAAAATTTTTTGTTTCTTTTTTTTCTGCAGAGTTATATTTGAAAGATATTTGTCTTGTTCATTGGAAAGAAAAGAAATACTCCCGATTTTTCTGTTCTCATTTCGGAATTTAAAAAAAATTCGCCAATGACTGACTTACTTCAGCTAGCATTTTAAAGTGATAAAGTAAAAAATAAAAAAACAATATCAAAAATTCGGAAATCACAGAAGTTTAAAAGATAAATCGCCATAGTTATGATTTTTTTCCTTTCGAAAGAACACCATAATTTTTAAAGAACATGATAAGAACATTTTATATTTTAATAAAATATGACTGTGAGTGGGGATTTTGTTACAAATTCAGATATTCGAAACACAATGAAACTGGGGGGAGGGGGTTAAATTCCATTTTAAACATTAAATTTTTCGTCGACCTAAATCCATGACTTTCCATAATTTTTTCAAAAAAAAAAAAGTTTAAATCATGACATTTCATGACAAATTTTGTTCAATACCGAAATTCATGACTTTCCGAAGCGCAGATATCCTGTTTATTGAGCAAACCAAAAAATTATTAAAACCTGAAATCAAATTAAACTGGTTAAAAGCTCACGTGGGGATCCAGAGTGATGAAGAGGGGGACGATGCAGCCACCCAGTCTCGGCCACATCGATCTATAAAGTATCGAGGTCACCAACCCAGGTTAAATCGGACATCCATTCTCTCACCCTGACTGGAAAACCAGTGATAAGGGACATTTAAATTCTTCAAAGACCTTTGCACTAATAGGCCAATTTTTGACACAGGGGGTGTTAGGAGGCTATCAAAATAATAAATCATCCCGAGAAAGCATGTAACCTAACAACAACCTTGCGTCAGAATTCTCTTTTGATTGTCGCGAAAATGTTTGTACTAAAAACCTTTTTCCAAAATAAAGCAAAAATATTGCAGTTTCGAACCTTTCATCCTAAAAGGATTAAAAATTATTTTTGTAAGCTTTTTTAAAAAGCATTGTCACTTAAGTCCATAATGACGTTTTAGCTCACACTAGCGATAGGATCAAATTGCTTTGTCCATTAAGATTTCATGACAAGTTGGTAGGGCATTGGGCCCATCTCTAAGAGATCGTGGGTTCGATCCCTGCCTGTCGAATCTCGAAGTCCTTCATTTTCCCATAACAGGGTTGCCACAGAAAAAAATTCACAAAATAGTTGCTTTTAGTAGCCTAAAGCATGGAAATAGTAACCAAAAACTAGGAAAATAGTTGCCTAATAAGAGCAAAAATTCATCCAAAATAAGACTAAAATTTTTTTACT